GTATCTTCAGAATCTGAGATTCATTCTTCTATCTCTTGTATTCTATTGGTTATGCTTGATTCTGTAGTCTCCGTTTGTTTACCTAGGTTTTCCATATCCAGCCGGTTCTCGGTTTGTGTTTTCTTCATTGCCTCTATTTCAGTTTTCAATTCTTGAACTGTTTCTTTTACCTGTTTGATTGTTTTTTCTTGGTTTCCCTGGGTATCATTCACGGATTTACTCATTTCTTCAAACTTTTTGTTATACTTCTCATCCATTTCTTTACTCATTTCTTCAAACTTTTTGTTATACTTCTCATCCAATTCTTTAAGGGAGTTATTCATAGCCTGTTTAAGGGACTCTATTGCTTTCATAATGGCTCTTTTTTCCACTTCTTCTGGATTAAGGTGTTCAAGTCCTTCTATTGTAGGGTCATTGGGATCTGGTGTTTTCGTGTTGTTTTTCAGATTGTTGGACGAGGTCTTGCCTTGGCGTCTGCCCATCTCTTCCTTCAAATGCTCTCTATTGGATCTTCTGGTACCGGGTCAGGTTCCCTTGTTGGGCCGGGACTTCACTGACAGAAGGCCTTCCTTTCCTCAGGCAGGCTATTGAAACACAGGCAGTCCCACCTTCCGGGTTGCGCCTACAGCCTAGGCCCAGTGCGCAAGGCAGCTGAGCTGGGGAAATTTTATGGCCCCCCTCCAATGGCTGTCTGTTCGAAGTCAGTGCCCCTTGCTGGTCAGGAATGTTGCTGAGCTGACACAGGGCCCACCTGTCCTCAGGCAGGCTTTTAAAACACAGGAACTGCCTCCTGCTGGGATGGACCTACAGCCCAGGCCCAGCCACAAGGCAGCTGAGCTGGGGAAATTTTATGGCCCTAGGGGGAAGGGGGAAATATAGGAAGGTGTACCTGGGTGGAAGGTGGGATGGCAGGCGGGAGAGGTTAGCAGGTTGGAGCCACCACTGCAGGGTGATTTGGGAGTCTGGGGGCTCAGGGAAAGTCTGAACTCTTCCTCGCCGGGCTCCTGCTGCGGGCCAGAAGCAAACTCACCCCTCTGATGGCTGTCTGCTAGAAGTCAGTGCCCCATGCTGGTCAGGAATGTCGCTGAGCTGACACAGCTAATTTAAATTTTTAAAGTGGCTTTAAGACACCAAGAAGTAAGGGAGAAGTCGGACTCAAATAGTATGTAGGGGTAAACTACAGAATTTATGTACCAGTTGAGATGGAACATATAGCCAGGCAGAATAGGAAGACGTTATGATTTTTGACTTGCCTAATTCTCTGAATGGTGATACCATTTGCTCAAATTACATGAAAATAAACATGCAGGACTTTCTTTGACATGATGCTTTTGAAATGCCTGTTGGACAATTAGATGAAATAAAGTTAGACATTACAAAAGATAATATATAAATGGACTTAGAAGTGAGAAATGAACGCTAAAGGTAGGGGTTTTAAAACTAGAGACTCACCTAAGAAGAATATAGTAAAAAAGAAAGATTCATGTTGACATCCTAGAATATTCTAAGGTAATGGGGAAAGGGGAAGTGTTCAGAAGTAGCATCTAATGAAGAGGAAAAACTCCAAGGAGGTATGATGTTTCATAAGGAAAGGAAAGACAATTATTTAGGGCTAAAGTATTATCCATTCTTCTCCCTAGAATAGTAGGAATTTGCCAGGATTTGGGAGCATAGTCACTAAGAATGGGCTCAAAACATTGTCTTATGATGATTGTGAGTCATAGAAAAGACCAAAGAACCATATTATAGGGAGGCATAATACAGCCAAAGGCAGGTAGGCTGCAAATGTTGAACATCAATCCAGCCATGGCTCAAAGGTAATAGGTAGGAAATCAAGGAGATAGATGGAGAAGGAATAACCATTGCAGGGTACTTGCATCAGAGTGGAAGAGTTGGTGAATATCTTAGCTGTTGAGTGAGGTCATGACCTCGACTATGTGTGAGAGTAGTGACTTGCATAACGTGGGAAGAATTGTTGAAGGGTTTCCAGCTCAGGCTGAGGGTAGTAAACTTTTGAGGCTAATAGTAACTGCAAAAGTATATAACAGACTTCCAAGACTGCTAATTGTTATTAGTCTAAATCCTGAATATTTTCAGTTTAGGATTTCACTAAGCTATATATTTCATTATCATTTCCCATTTGCAGGTCTAATAAAATTAAAATTTTACAATTAAAAATCAGTCCGAAGTGTAGAGTAACATTGTTGAAATTGAATCCATTCTCAGTCCTTAATACTTTATGTAATCTGGAACAAATAATAACATTTCAATAATAACATTTCAATATACTACATCATATAGTATATTGTGAATATAAAAATAGCCATATGAATATAAAATTATGGAATCCCTGTAAACTGAGTTCTTCCTGTGCTTGTTATAGAAAAATAAAGTGAGATAAGGATGGGAAAATGCCCATTAGCTTTGACATTTTTGGTGACTGCAATGGAAGATGCTTCATTAGTGGTGGCAAGGAAAAAGGTGGATTGTAAAGGGTTGAAATTGGAAATCAAGGCTAGGGTGTAGAGAGGCTGAGTGAAGATAACTTGCTAGAAGCATTTCTCTGTAAAGGGAAGAGCATAGGGTCAGAATACTTTAGGTTTTGTCATAGGATGTGTTCTCTTTTACCTTCCCGTTCTCCTTCTTCTCTCTTAGAGGGAAGAACACAGAGTTAACCAGATTATTTTCTTACTGGTAATAAATTTTGAAGACAAAGCTACCTTTTCTTTTCTTCTAGGTTTTTTTTTCTTAATTTAAAGATACCAACTATAGTTAAACTCTGGAAACAGAAATGATAAGGTGGTTCGTTTAAATTCACGACTTGCCCCAGTGTAGACTCACCTGGAAAGAGAGTCACAATGAGGGCCTTGAGTTCCACCCAGTAATAGAATATAACCTGAAATTGTGGGCAGTTATTTGTTTCTGCTCTTAACTGTGGGCATGATTAGCACTGGGTTTCTGCCTTGAATTCCCCACAACAATGAACTATAACCTGGAATTGTGAACTAAAACCCTTCTCCCCTGAATTGCTTTCTGTTAGAGTATTTTATCAAAAAAAAAATACCCAGATAATGACAGAAGGACAGATGATAATCAACCATGACCAGTACAATCAGACAGAGAAATTAAAGTTGTTAGACAGAAAGAGAAGTTGAAGTCTTCAGCCTTGCTAGAAATAAAGACAAGACAATGGTGGCCAGTCTTTAGGGCAAATGTAGGGATCTTGTAACTGAACACTGTTGAAGAGATCCATGTGCTATATAGGAGTCCTAGTAGGATAAAAGTTTACACTGGGAATGTTAGTATTTAAGATCACAAAGATGGATCATCCAGGGCCACAAAAAATACTGGAGCAATGGTAGTGAGTGTTGAAAATAAAAGGAAAAAGGGACAATATCTGAATATGAGACGGAGGTAGGGGAGAGAGGAGGTAGGAAGAAAGAGAGATCTAATTCGTGTGCTGGAATTTTCAGCACATGTGGTATAGACCACAGGACAGTGACAATAGTATCTCTTCAGAAAGTTTCACATTTTTCTTTCCGTCATCCATTCTGTAGATGGGAAACAGTTGATTGCTGTACCCTGTGAGGGGCCTTGATTGCCTTGAATGTTGTTAATTTCCTCTTCTGTGCTCTTTTGCTCTGAGCAATTCTTATTCCTTTTAATCCAGTCCAAGGCGTTCTTTCTTGGTTTTGGATATAGTAAGTTTTATAACAACAAAAATAAAAATCAACCATGATTTTGTATTTCAAATCCATTTCATCTTGTCATCTTGTTTTATCACTAATATAGATGGGAAGAAATTTATTACTTTATGAGGTCTTTCATTTTCTAGAATGCTATTAAATCACATTCCAATGCTGCTTTGCTTTAATTCTAATTTCTTTTAGTCTAATTCAAGGCTTTCTTTCTTCTTTGCTATTTTTTTATGTATTCCCTGTTTATGAGTATATTGTGTTTTGAATGGAGTTCATTGAGAGTTGCTGAAATTGTTTTGCTTAAATTGTTTTGGTTTCATATGATCAATTTCTTTATGTTTCTTCTAAATTGACTTCATAATTCTGGAAAGAGGCATAGATATTTCACAGTTTTATAGTATGGTATTAGTAAATAGTTTTATGTATATTTCACTTTATGGTCACCTTATTTTACTCTAAGTTTTACTTCCACGTGCTGATTTTCTTTAAGTTTGTTATCCATGACAGTCCATCCTTTGTCATTCTTATCTTTTCATGTTGTTAAATCAAACATTTTAGACAGGGGTTTTCTGAAATAAAGGGTTTGCTCGGTTCTTACATAGTCCATCCTAAAATAAAAACCTGGGCAATCCTGAAGCAAATTATATGAGTTGTCAGGAGTGTGGTCTGATAACAGCTGGAAAATGTTCCACTGCATCTAGGAGGCCAGAATATTTTATGATGAAATTCAGAGAGGAGAAATCATGAAACGTTCACACTGAACCTCAGTAGGGACAGCTAAGAGAGAGAAGAGAGCGCAATACAGGCAGAGTCCTCAGAGAGGAGGGACTGTTCCTGAATCAGAATATAGTGTCATCCTGGGGTTCAAACTTCAACTGAGAGGGGAGATGGCATGACATGTCTTTTTTTCTTTGTTAATTTTGCTTGTGTCTTTTATTCATTTATTAGTGTGTGTTTGTGTGTGTGTGAGCGCACGGGCACACACACACATTTTGGGCATATATCTTTTTGTTTTGTTTTGTCTTGGTATTATTTGTCTTATTGCACATTTGTTTTGGCCTTTATATTTTATTTTTAAAACTAAGTAGAAGTTGGGTAGGTAAAGTGATGAAGGAGAATGTGGAATGAGGTGCAGAGGGAAAGAATGTGATACAAATATATTCTGTGTAAAAAACTCAAAAAGACACTAAAGTAACATTAAACCAAAATATGGCTATATCTACCTGGAATCTTGCAAGTGTGTTTTGCTAGTAAGTAGCATCTTAATTTTTTTTGATTGTCTAATTAATTTTTGTACCATAGCCAAAGAACTCTCACGTGAAATTTCTCATGAAAGCGTTGGTCAACAGGAAGTTTCTGCATGCCAAGAAAAGGATGGAGACAATAACTTACGAGAACAGATACACCATAGGTCAGTTTTAAGCGTTGTGTCCTTTCTATTCCTTTCCACTCAAAGATGCTGACAAATGGTGACCTTGGAATAATAAGATCTATGAAAAAGACATACTCCCTACTATTGAGTCCTTTTTTTTGTTTGCCTTGAGTTAAATATTTATATTGAAATAGGTTTTTGCATTGAGTGAAATATTTATATGGAAGTTTTTGGAGTGGAAACTGCAGTTGCTATAGTCTGGGGAAGGAAACCAATCAGAAAACACTTACAAGTTAATTACATGGAATTCAGCAAACACTTAGAAAATACCAATGAAGATTATGGAATTTCAAAGAGCTGTGAGTCAGACTGGGAAAGTTTGTAGTAGCTCTTCCGTTATACTAAAATGAAGTTACATGGCGTTCTTTGAATTGTGTGTAATTTTCCTTTGGAAAAGAAAATGCAGGCAAAATTAGGCAATTTCATGAAAGCCTGAGAGATCTAAAAATAAGAAGTGAGACAGGATGTGTAATTTGAGCTCCGTAAAGCTGACTACGCCCTAGGAAGAAAAAAAAATGATTCAAGGAAAGTTTTTAGTAAATTAGTCTGTGCCATCTCTCCCTACAAAGAACTTTCACTTTGTATGTCCAAGAAAAAAACATTCTGTGACCTGATTGTGGGAGCCGTGGGAGCATTAGAAGAGTCCTCAGACTCCTTCTGCCCTTAGTGTACATCTTTGGTTTTTAAACAGAGATCTGATCTTACATCAAATACCTACTGAATGGGTAGCATTTTCAAATCCTTTTCACTACTACTTCACAAATTTTAAAAATTATCCCACAATGCCATCAGACAAAATCTTTACATTTAGTATTGCTCCATCACCTATAGATTTCATAAAGTTACTTTTTTGAATTGAATTCCTTTGTTAGTCTTCTTCTTCATCGTGAATTGTCAAATAAATCACACTAACTGCCATGTTTAATATTTCTTTATGCAATCATTTAAATCAGTATCACATATTCATATGGGATTCTTATTTTGCAGAATTGTTGGCTTCTTGGACAACTGGCCATTGCTGGAAGAGTGGTTTACAGAGCCACAAAATATTTTGACAAAAATAAATGCTGAAATTGATGAAGGGTCTTTATGTCAGAAAGTAAAAGAATTTTTTGCTAATGAAATAGCAAATAAAAAGATAAAAGGTAATTATACGTGTATATGCATGCATTCATTGAATAGTATACATTGTGTCTTCATAATATTCAGCTTTTTCCCCATCTTCTCACAAATCCACCACCACTCAGATACCCAAAACAACTTTTTGTCATCATTATTTTTTTTAACTCAGTGAATCCAGTTAATGCTGTCTGTATATTCTCAGATATGTGATCATCCATTGACGTGAGATAGACTTACCAGGGAATATCCCATTTATATCCAAATCCCCACATTTTAAAGCACATTCCTTTAACCTTTTGTTTGTTTCTTTTCATTTATTGAGATTCAAAATGATGTGGAACTCGCTGTGTAAGCCAGACTGGCTTCCAGCTTTCTGTGCGGCTCCTGACACCTGAGATGCCAGGCATTTGGTGCCACTCATGACTGCTCTCTTCCTATGCACTTCTTACTTTGCTGTTCTACATCATTTTAATTCATCTTTTATTTTTCCACTTTTATATTTTACTTTGACATTTGACATCAGCTCCCTAGCTTTCTAAATGCGCACACACACACACACACACACATACACACACATACATACACACACAAGTACACACACACACACATACACACACATATACACACACACACATACACACACACACATACACACACATACATACACACACACGTACACACACACACATACTCACACATACACACACACATACACACACACACATACACACACACACACACACACACACACCACTCAATCACACCCATCCCATCATCATTTGCATAGCCATAACTATGAAGCAAAAGAATAAAGAAGAGCCCAAAGTATGAGTGTTTAGGTGCAGTAAGTATATTTGTTATGATTTTAAAGCAAATGTAATATGCTGCAATAATTTTGCTAATTACAATTTTATAATAGTTTTTATATTTTTTTAGTTAATGAAATAGTAGGCACCTAGAACCCCTAATGCAGGTTTATTTTTATCATTCTTCTGAAGTTGAAAAGAAATTAGAAGAAAAAGAAGCCGAGAAGAAGGCAGCGGCTTCTGCGACTGAGGCTTCTACCACCAGTCCTTCCCTTCCTTCTGAAGCAGAAAAAGACAAGGAGATACATCTTCATCGTGAGCCATCAAAACTTTCTCCTGGGAAAGGAAAGACACCCTCAGGTGACTGACAAACTGATTATAACCCTGTTTGTCAGTTTCTTATTTTCACAGAGAAAAGAACGATGAACCACAGCGCCAGGCTACTTAGCTAGATTCCGACTTCGGGGACTTCAGTCATGTGAAACAAATACCTTTTTGTAATTTTGATATCTGTGGTGTTAGGGACACTGCCAGGTCCCTGATAGGCAGAGTACATGGTCTACCACTGAGCTACATGCTCCTTCAAGGAAAAGCCTTCCCACTGAGCAAAAACGTTTGTTTAGAAAGGCAAGTGTCTCACCTCTTCTGCGGGGCATGTGAAGTCACCCCACTCAATCTAGCTACTGAGCACAGAAGTGGGGCAGGAAGAGGAAGACTGTAGAGCAACAGGAAGTGCTTTAGTGCAGCCAGAGGAAACGGCTGTCTGCTGAGCTACAGAACTATGTTCTTGTAAAAAGTGAGAACATTTGGGGAAAAAATGGGAATCAGTACAGTCAGGATATTCTTTTTTTTCTTTTTTCTTCTTTTGTTTGTTTGTTTGTCTCGAGACAGGTTTTGTGTGTGTGTGTGTGTGTGTGTGTGTGTGTGTGTGTGTGTGTGTGTGTGTGTTTATCTTTAGAGCTTGTCCTGGAACTCACTCTGTAGACCTGCCTGTCCTCAAACTCACAGAGATCTGCTTGTCTCTACCTCCCTAGTGCTGGAATTAAAGATATACACCACCACATCCAGACAGACAGTATATTCTCATATCCCTACAAGCAATGTTAATTAGACACCTGAATTTGTGTATAGCCAGAGATATTACAGAAAGGTGATTATAGAAAGCATACTGGTAGAACCACCGAGGTGTCTCAGTGGGTAAGGTCACCTCAATTGCAATAAAGAACCAGGTCTCAGAAGTTAATGTACACATGCTTACCATGATACACACACACACACACACACACACACACACACACACACACACTTACCTGACACCCCACTAAACTTAGATGTTCGTAGAAAAAGAGCCTTGCAGAAAATACATTTTAGATTAAGTAGTTTATTCTAGATACTTAGTCACTGGGTCTGTAAATTTAACATTAAATGACAAAATGAGCAGGACAGAATTTATGTGTTTAAAACTGTCCTAGTGATATTTGTATGATACCAATATCAGTTTGGCACGTGACGTGGCTTCACAAGTGGTTAACTATTCAGCTGTCTAGCTCAGTGCGTATTCTTGGTGTGTCATAACTGTCTCTAACAACAACATTTTCACTGCATGGAGATTTGATATAAATCTGTAATTCTTTACAAAATTAAATTTAATCATAGTAAATAAAAATTTTGAGACAAAGGTACAAATTTTGTTTCAAATGATTGAAGTCATTTTAAGCAACACGTATAATGATATTTTAAAGACCATTTTGCTTCAACATATCTGGGTTTAACTAAATGCAAAATATTTAAATATTAAAAATGCTTTTAGTATAAGACAGTGAAATGTAAGGCCACATACACACACACACACACACACACATATATATATATTTAATAATATATAATAATAATAATATATAATTAAAATTAGAAACTTTAACTTAAGGGTCTAAAAGAAAACTTCAACCCTTTACAATGTGATTTTCTGATAAGGTATTTTCTCGAGTGCTGGAGAACTCTCCACCATGGTCTTTTGAGCTTTCTTATCATCAGAACATTGGTGTAAAACTCTGCCTTCCCTGGTACTAGTCTCTGAACTTTCTAATTTTGACACAGTCTGGTAGTTAACTTTAATATTAAGTTTCTGGAGGATTTATTTTCTATTTTAAAGTTGTAATCTTGACTAGTGTACACTGGAGGAATAATAAATCTGTTTTGGTTTCACTGAGTAATTGTACCTGTCTTTTTTTTCCCATCAAAGGCAAAACTAGTCCCTTACCTTATAAAAGTATATAAAAGGGCTCATTTATACTTGCCTGATTCCATTCACACACAAAGCATTTTCTTTACTTTTTCAAGGAAAAAGTTACCATGAAAAGAAAATAATTATTTTTTTAAACAGCACCCAAAACACCAACATGAAGATTGGGTAGAGGAGGCACAGTCCCCTTAATTCTAGCAGATTTGGTCCGAGTACAGTTCTAGAACACAGATAATCACTTCATATCCGCTACAACTGTCCTAGGATTCAACTAGAAAACTTACACATTTGCCCCCTCCCCATTTAAAGGTCTGTGATGAAATCTATCATCAAATGTTGGTATTTAGCTTAGAATTAAAGTTCTCAACATAAAATAATAATATCCATGCTACTATCTAACAGTAGTGTATAGGATAAGCATGGTAATGCAAACCTATAACGCCAGAATTTGCTAAAATACAAGGAAAATGAGATGTTTAAGGCTAGCCTTGGCTATACAGTGAGCCTAAGGGCAGCCCAAGTTACATGACACACACATACACACACACATATCCATTCACACACACTGAGATAACAGAACATATTTTAGAACTAACCTTTAAAATGGAAAAGAGTATGTTACTTCTAACAGAAAAAGTTTTCCACAAAACTTTATAAAGCCAGTGTCTTATTTGCTTTGTCTCTGTCACCTTGTACTAACAGACAGAATTAATTACATATTTGGATACCCAGAATATTTTATAATAACTTTTTCTAATTATTAATCTTATTTCCTTAAAACAATTAGCTGTTCCAAACATGTAGATTCTATGAGATGCATTGTCAGTTATCTGTATGTTCACAAAAGTTCTTATAGGTAAACATGTTTCAAGAGTAATCTTCTATGTCATTTACTTGTTTATTTCTATGGTATTTTGGCTGTCAGAGAGGAAATATTCAAATGAAAGTAACATGCATTTACAAAAATTTTAACTATCACTCTAAACACTCACAAAATGGATAACATGAGCTCTCTACATCATAATAATTTAAAGTGTCATATTACTCACTGAAGAAAGTACATATTCAAAAATTAAGAGACAGGAATTGGTGAACATTTTCATAATTAGTGCAGCATACAGTCATGAGTTTGTTTTTTTAAAGGACTGAATCATTATCTACTATTTGGGAGACATACTACTGACCTCCAGATTGTCCATTTCTTGGTTTCCCAATAAACTTTTAAGTAGGTTCTAGGGAATATAAGATAATTATGCCCAAGTTATTCTTTGCAGTGTAAATTAGAGTCAGTAATATTTGAAATACAGAAGTCACTAGGTAATAGATTAAAGATATGTCATATCAAAACAATGTTGTTATTGAAATCTTCCTCAAAGTGTTTCATTTTTATTAATGACCTGGTTTTCATATTTTTTACATTTTATTACTATTTATTACTGTACTATGTTGCGTGCATATGCATGGTATACAAGATGTGGACCCTGGAGTCAGTTTTCTCTCTCTCTCCGCCCTTCTGGAGATTCTCAGTGTTGAACTCAGATTATCAAGCTTGCATCATCGGGGAACAAGCACCTTTACTTGCTGAGTTATTATGCATTGGGGGAACCTAGTCTTATTGAATGTAGGTCATTTTGTGTCATTAAATTTAAATAAATTTGTGCTTCAAATGGGCTTGCGATTTACCTTACCCCCCAATCCCATTATAGATTATAAGCAAGCCCATCACTAAATATCAATATTAAAGCTAAGATTAAACATCTTAGCATGACAACATAGAATATAATTGTGAACATTATCGCTCAATAAGAGAAAATGTAGAGTCTGTCTTCAGATTGATCTCAACTCACAGGAAAAAAAATGGTCTATTCGAGGCAGTTCACAAATATAGTTGATTGCTTAGAGATTGGGAAGCCTGGGCTATTGAAATAAGTCACCAATGATATTTTTGTGTTGAATTTTGTTTAGAACTCCAGCATGGTAAGAAAGACTCTCAACATGAAGTAAAAGGAAAGAAAGGTGAGACTGCCCTCAAAGGAAAAGTAGCACCAATGAAGTTAGGTATTGTTCCATGCGTTCCTAACATTTTAGGTATCTCAGTGAAAACAGCTACAAGGCACAGCAGTACATCCTGAGACTCCTTGGGGCATTCCGAAATCGTTAGCTCACTCCAAATAAATCAGCCTCAGACTATGTGCAGCCGAGTGCTCACCCAAGGCTCTGCCGAGAAAAGTGGTACTTTCAAGAGATACTATAGGTGGAGTATCCGTTCATCATAGATATTACAGGTGTTATCTAGGAGCTAAGCTTTGTTCCCAGAAAGGCACTGCTGCACCATCTTTGGCCTCTCAGTAAATTGTATTCACTGGTAAGCACTTTGGTACAAAGTCCCCATCTTTCTTTATAACACAACAGAACAGGCATGGAGCTCAAACTTTACATTGTACCAATAATGACTAGCTATCACATTTCCTGAAATGTAAGTATGTCATTTTCTCACTCAGTAGCTCATATATGAGATTCTAAGCGAAAAATTTCATTTGAATCGAGGAGCATGGAAAGTTGCCTTCTAGTGAATGAGTAGTTATATAATAAATTGTAGTCAGAGACTGCGCATTCATTGCCGGCCACCCAGACCTGAATAATCACACAGAAACTATATTAATTACAAGACTGTTTGGCAAATAGCTTAGGCATATTCTCGGCTAACTCTTATATCTTAAATTAACCCATTTTTATTAATCTGTGTATTATCACAAGGCTATGGCCTACCACTAAGTTTCCAGCGTTCTGGCATCTTTCTCCTTCAGCAGCTGCGTAGTATCTCTCTGACTCTGCCTACTCTCTCTATATATCTCTGTTCAGATTTCATGCCTGGCTTTATTCTGCCCTGTCATAGACTGAAGCATATTTACTTTTAACCAATGGTAATAAAACATATTCACAGCAAACAGAGGGTAATCCCACATCAATGAGTTTGGGTTTTTGTTTGTTTGTTTCCTGTTATTTTATCTTGACGCCACAGTAGCGTGAGTCTCAGAACTTGAACAAGGACTGGGACTGCAATGGCTGCCTTCATATTCTTCTGGTTTTGATCTTATGTTTTAAGTTGCATTATTTTCTGACTCTACTTTTGTTTAGATTTGTCTGTTTTATTTTATCTATTTGTTATGTGTATGTGTGTGTGTATGTAGTTCTTAATATTGTAAATTAATACCATTGATACTGAGACTATATTTGTCTCACAGACCATTGTATCACAATTATATTTAAATTATCTCTTAATTGTGATACATGGACACACACATATTAGTTATATGTTTGGATATTTATGCTGACATGAACATTTTTTTATAACATTACAGTCAAAGAAAATCTCATCATGATTATGTCATACTGTAGACTTATATAACAAGAGGTAGTTAGTAAATCAACCCTGAGATACATCTTTAATTGAAATTCTAACTCTGTAATCTATATTTAACTCTTCATTGTTTACCAACAAAGCAATTTACCATTTTATATTACTTATCACTTGTTTTTTAACTGTTATAAAACTAAACTCAAATGAAGTATTATTATATGCCCATCAGAAAAAGATATTAAGTTCACATAGACATATTTCACTCCAAATCACAAATTAGATATAATTGTATGTAAACTTTAAGAGTGTCCTTAATTGAAAACATAGACACCAAACAAGCCATAAGCAACCTTGCAAGTTCAACAGGAAAATATATACATTCACCAGCTCAGTTTAATTAAAGTATTTCAGATTTGTTCTTTTGCTTTTGGTTTTCTAGTTTGTGAGGTTAAATGGTATCTTAAAAGGTAAATTTTAGGGCTTAGTAAGATTGTTCTTCCTACAAAGAACTCAGGTTCTGTTCCCAGCATCTTCATGAAGGGTCACAATCATCTGTAACTCTAGTTTCTGGGGTTCTGATGTCCTTTTCTGATCTGCACAAAAATGTGATGCACTCACCTACATGCAGACAAAATACTCAAACGTTAAACAAATGGAATAATTTTAAAGGTGAACTTTAAATCAGATTTAGAAGTCCTCTTACAACGGTGTATAAATGCTATCATTTTGGTGTTTTTAACAATGTTTACTTCATAGGACAGGGGTGTTACACAGAAAAACCCTATCTTGAGAAAAACAACAAATAAAACAATATTTACTTAATATAGGAAGTTATAATATTTTACTTCTTAATATTTGAAATTAATAGCGTTGACACTGGACACAAACTTTTACACTCACAGGCCATTGTATCACAGTTATATGTAATGCCTCTCTCACAGCCATGACACCATTTCTTTTCTTCTTTCTTCAAATTCATTATTTCTTCCTGGTGACATCATTGACTCATTGCTATTCTCTGAGTATTAGATCAGTCTTTACTATTTTTCTCTTGAACTCTTAAATGTTCAAATCTTATGGCGATCTTAAAATATTTATTTTTAAACATTTTTATATATTGTCTGGAACTTTCACACATGTACATAACGTTCTTATAATATGTCGTATGCGTTGGGATTTTGGTGTAGATGTACAGGAGTTTGATCACTTATCAGCTTTTAAGCACAATTATACTACAGGTGGGTTTCACAAATTATTCCGAATAATCAGTCTTTTTGCTTTATAGTTACATATATCTAACTTCCTGATGAGGAACAATACAAGCCCTAGTATTCTAGTCCTCAATTTATAATTACACAGCTTTTCCTTTTAGAATAGGCTAAAAAAAAGATAGAGAACTCTATCACAGCTCAGAATGAATGGTTAAGAATCATACACAAAATACATCAGATTATTATGAATATTTTTACCTAGTCTGCAGGTTTATGAATGACTAAAGGACATTGGAATAGTTATATATGGAGAAATCACCTGAACTACCCAAAACTCATGATTGACACTTCTCTACTTATAAACCATGTCTTTTAATTAACATAAAATTAAAATAATCTAAAGAGCATCACTAAGTTATACTAATCAGAATCATGTATTTGGGAGAAAGTGCTCCCCATTTATATTCAACAGTATAGAACTACATGCACAATTTTCAACAGTTAATCTGAAGACAGGTGGGGTTTAACCAGAGTGATCTTCTAAAGAAAACAAATATTGATCCTTTCACTGTGTTCCTGTGCTCACAATATAGGGATACCATGTAACTGATCCGCGCTGCCCTCTGCATTTGGGAAAGAGAAATATATTTCCTGTTCAGATTCTAAATTAGAACATTGACTACATCCTCCTCCCTTTCTCTCCCTTCTCCTCCTCCATTCTCTTACTCTCACATTTTTACTTCCATTTCTACTTCTCGGTACCTCCTTTCCTTTCTTCTTGATTTCTAGGCTTAAATTTCAAGCCTGATTGTAGCAAGAAATATCTTTTTTATTTTTCAGAAATCCTTTCAACCTACAGGAATATGAAAAGGTTTGGGGGCATCAGAGGCCTCTTCCTTCAACTGTCTCATCTGTGGCCTTACCTTCTCAGGATAACCCTAACATATGATCCTTCTCTAACTTCTGCTCTGAGTCCCAAGAGACACAAACAAGTCCCATTTATGTTCTGGGCACTCGTTCTTTCATTTGGCATGAAGAATTCAATTGTCAGTTTTTACAACAGGAAATTAAACACATTTTGTGGTAAAGTCTAAATTTTATAAGAGCTACACATGAATTAGGGAAGCAAGACATGAATGAAATTAAAATTCTGAAAGTTACAATAGCCAGACAGATTCCAGGTGTTTGAGTCCCTTAACTAAGAAAACAACTCATGAGTAGTAGCGTGGCCATTAATGCAGGGACCATGGCCAATGAGGCGTTTGTTCTACTATGTCTTTGAGCTGGAAAAACTGCCTAAAGAAGCTAAAAGAATGGTCAGTGAGTGTCCTGAATTTTATAACAATCATAGACTTTGTCATGCTCAGAACCCTATCCTCTTCACCTACTTGTACTGGAATGATTTAATATGCATGTTTAAGTTTCTCCTAAAGGGAAAATACCAGGAGGCAAAACACCAGTAAAGAAGTCACCTGCTGGCTCTGCAGAAATATCACCCACACCAACGGCACCACCAGCCCCTAAGCCAGGATCAGATGAATGGATCTATGTGACAGAGCCGATACCTGAGGTATGGCACTTTCTCATCAAACTAATAGGATAATTTAACCTATATATATATTAAGTTTGCCATATAAACAACATTAACAATCCTTCTGGAGTCAGGATTGTGTATAAATTTATCAAAAAACTGAGAGAAGCCTAGAGTTGCAGTTGATGAGTGCAGAAAATGCTAGATTCCATCTCCAGTATCAAAGTGAGGGAAAGAAATAGCGATAGGTTTTCTAGAGGCATGTTAGCGAACTGTATTTCCATTTTGCCCATGGATTTTAGTCTCTGGGTCACAGTCTGATACTGCTCTTGAGTATTGAAGTCAGGAGAACAAATAGCTTCTATTAGTAGCAATTTTCTCCCCAAGGACATATTTTTAGACCTGGAAGAAACATATAAAATCAACTAAACCATAAAACAGCTACCTGACCCGAGAGCTTGTGACAGGTATGCTAGACAGAGAGTTGTTTATGGGACCAAGCAGTTGTTACCTGGGCCTGGGGCTTCAAAAGATAAATCAACTTGGGGATATCACACACTGTTTTTTTCTAATGAAAGACAAAAAGATGTTTACAATAAGCAGTTCTGTCTTCTTAATCTGGTTCACAGTGGTCTCTTACACTGATAAGCTCAGCGAGGTCCATTTGCACCAGTCATTTGAGAGTCATGCATCCCCTGCAGGAGTTGGGTTGTAGTTGCTATTAAACCCTGCTAGGGATGTTTAATCCCACATGTTAGGCTCCAAGTTCTTTGGGGAGGGAGTACGTAGCTCACTGTATTTGAGGAACCAGACATAGTCAATGTCAGTATATGGGAGATTCTTGATAGGTTTCTACAGAAACGATTAACTAGTATTATGGGTAAATTTGGAAGATACTTAAAGATGAAACATTAAAATGGTACAATAATATATGCATGCATATATGTCTGTTTCTTTATATACACATATGTATGCATACTCATATGTAATGGGTATCACTCAGTCAAGAAGAAGCTACTTTAAATACACACAGAGAAACAGGGAGAGAGACCCCACATCCATTTTCAAAATGTTCTGAGTTTGTGAGAGAAACAGAACAGAAGGTGTTTGGGAGAACAAAATATAGTCATTATTGGGTAGTGGGTGGGGAGTGATGAATAAAAATACCCAAATCTTATACCTTGGGATCACTCAAGACAAATAACACTGTATAGGACAAAAACTAAAATAAAAGTCATTAATATTGAGACCAGATATAAGCTCACATACATAAATCTTGGGATGAACTCTTGTAGGAAGCAGATGAATCTCAAGGAAAGAAACTGGAGCAGTTTTCACAAGTCTATCATTAATACGTCATACAAAGATGAGACAAAATGTAATAAATCAATTCTTTCATTTATTCAATCATCTTTGAGGACGTTCCAGGTAACAATATACCATGTGATATACAGAGAAAGACCGTAGAGTGCTGATCAAGAAGAAAATTCCTGCCTCAGTGGGGCAGGTATTCTAGAATAAAACACAGACAACATAATTTATGCTGCCAGTATTATAACACCTGAGTTCAGAAGACTAAGGCAGAGCCTCAGAAGATCTGAGGATAACTTAGCAAACTGCATGGGTCAAAGGAGGATATCTGGAAGAAATGATGTCTGCACTGAGACAAGCAGGAATTATCTTCTGGAGATAGATAAGGACTAAGACACTTTAGAAGGTGTGCTCCGGGTACTTGCAATTGGTACTTGATCTTGATGGTTAGTGTTCTTTTGACTCAGCTAGTCGCAAGATTTTTCATTTTTAAGTACTGATTTCAATGCTTTACTGTTGAACAGGAACTGCCTTCATTTTTACTACCTTATTGGGAACTCATAGAGAAGTCCTACATAAACCACATCAAAACAGTACTTCGATATCTTAGAGACAACCAACACACTATCCTTTCTTATTTATATGATACTAGGTAAGTAAAGGCCCCAAGGTCAGAATTTTGTCATGATTAGGTGGGACAAAGATAAATCTCATTCTCTTTCTTACTTACAGAACCAATTTCCAGGAATTTCTCAGGCGTCCAGATCACAAGCAAGATTTTGTATCTCAGTGGCAGGCTGACTTCAACTCTGTTCCCGAAGACCTGTGGGAGGATGAGGAAACCAAGGCAGAACTACACCAACGAGTGAACGTAAGGACTGCTGTGACCTTCTGTGCCAGGTCATCTCACTCTTACTTCCTCATCTCTATACTCTCACTTCATCCCGTTTCTGTCTTCAGAGATGGAAGCCTCAGAAATATAACAATTTGAGCTCTGATCCAGTCATTAGTAACTTCACAAAGGACTGGCTGTTCTTCCTTTTGGGTTCAGGATACACACATGGCACCCTTCTTAGAAGAGGAGCTGACATCAGCAGTGCAGGAGCGTTCCTGGCATCTGCTCTGCAGACTCTTCTCCATTTCTGGTGGTCCACCTACCTGTGGTCATGCCTCACGGGATTACACGCCCATCCTGAATTCAGTTACATAGCCTAATATCAAGAAAGAGAGTTAGGGCAACCATACTTGCCCCTTTTGACTAGATCTTTTGAGGTCTGGTGACAGATTGTACATATTTTTATATCTCCATCAAGTGCTGTACTTAAAAGTGGGAAGGCAGGTGGATTTTTGTGTATGCGAGAGAGTTCCTGAGTCTAGTTTATTACCTTGACATTTTAGGGAATGGCTTCTGGTACACAAGAAGCCCCATTCAGTTTCGTAGCCTACATCATCCATACATAAATTGACAACTTTCCCTTATATCATCAGAAGGATACTTTGAAACTCTCATTTGTTTATTACTAAGGGTCAAATATTATTGTGATCTTGTTGTACGACCCTATTCCTCAGGAAATATATCAAGATAGAGAACCCACAACAGAAGTAAGGATGCCGCCACAGTCCAGCTTGGTAAACTAATGAGTTTACTGTGGTTAATTAAAGGAGTAATGGTAAGGGGTTACTTACAGGAGGATAAATGACCCAAAGGTTGATGGATTAAAACCTTACATAGCATGGATGATGGCTTACAAAACCTGGGAACCTTGAGCTCACTGCATGACTTTGCAAGCAGCGTGACAGCTTGGAGAGTGTCTCTTGCAGGTGGCTCAACCACTCTCTGCCTCTTCTAGGCAGCTTGACTTGTCTGAGCCTCCTCTAGGCAGCATGGCTAATCTGCCTATTCCAAGTTGGGAGTGGCTTTCAATAGTCCTTAGTGTTTATACAAGCTTGGGGATAAAGTAGTCCAAGATATCTGGACAGTTTCAAGGCTTTCTCTTAAATATGTTTATTATTCATTGAGAATTTCATACAACATATTTTGACCGTATTAGCCTCAACTCCTCTCATTAATTGCATCAAGATCCAGCCCTTCTACCCTAACTCTCATAACTCACTTAATTTTATTAAATTCAATTTGTACTGTCTATATGCTTCAGGGTATGCGCCATCACTGGAGCATGGGCAAACGATCAGAAGCCACACCCCTGTCCATAGACACTCAGGTTGGGGTAGGAGCTCATGAACCCCCATTCCATTTTGATTGGCTTGGTCTTGTGCAGGGATTGTGCAGCCAATCACAACTGCTGTGAGCTTTCGAGTACAGAAGTTCTGTCGTGTCCAGAAAACACTACTTTGTTTCAGTCCTTCCTGACCTCTGGCTCTTAGAGTTTTTCTACAACCTCTACTGCAATAGTCTCTAAGCTATTGGATGGGGCTGTGATATAGATGATCCATTTGTGTTTGAGGACCCCCAAAGTCACTCATTCTTTGTACTTTGTCCATTTTTTTCTATGCTAGCCACTAGCCACTGCACAAGAGATTTTTTTTATGAGATCTGAGAACTGCACAAACCTATGGGTAGAAAGACATGAATTTAGAGAGTTGTTTGATACTATGTCCATTAAGTGAAATGGTGGTAGTAGGTTCACCCCTGTGACCTCTGACTCCCCAACTGTGGTATTCTTGGCCAAACTTACAGTACCAGGGGTGTGTTTCTCCTGTAGTGAGGCTTTAATTCCAATCAGAAAGCAGTTGGTCTCCTCATAATATTTGTTCTGATATTGTACCACATGCGTTTCTTTCCATACCCAGCGTTAATGGAGTTCATGGAGTTCACAGCTGGATAAAGTTATTGATGGCATTTTTTCCTCCAGTGATCTGCATAGCATCTTGGTCAATAACAACTTTATCTCTCTAGGTCCCATGACTAATGAAGGTGGTGTCTTAAGCAGTAGTGTCCTACTGTCAACTTCCGTGGTAGGCATCTAACAGCAGAGAAAATAGCCTGTGTTGTTTTAGGGAGAGCGCTAGTACACCTTAGTGTGAGGAACTTCTTGAAGCTTCTGTGTTGGCTGCACTTTTCTGTGAATTCCCACACCCGAAATAGGCGCGCGCTTTCCCGAATCGAGCCCACGAGAATGGATGACTATCCTAAGGGTTGAAACACAAAGAGACCATGCTCATTCACCAAAGAGTAAATGGCAACTTTATTAAACACAAATAGGGTATATATACTAGGGGGCAAAGGGAAAATAGCCCCTTCCATCCATCCGGAACAGGGGAAGAGGAAGTCAGGTGTCCAGCATCCAAGGCCAGACAGCAGGTGCGGTGGTAGACATATAGGGCCTACAGCAGGATCCTTGCTTGCGGGTGGAATTACCATAACAAAAGAGGGCCAAGTTCTTTCTAAGCTAAACCCTCAGGCTGGTGCAAGAGCAGAGAAACCAGGAAGCCAGAGGTAAAACGGCCCTGCATAGCGCCACGAACGAAAGAGGAAGAAACCTGGGTACCTACACTTCTGGGTTTTTTACTTTCTGAATCTTAATGAGCCCCCCCTTTTTTTAGAATTTCCTGACCCGTTTTCTTTTCTTATTTTTTTTCTTTTTCTTTTTGGCTTCCTTCTTTATTGCCTTGTTCCTTCTCCATCTCACATTCTTCTACAGCTTATATATCCCAACATAATCCTTCAGACAGCGAAGGAGTGACAGGAAGGTTTCATCCCATTTCTCAAGTGAATGATTATAGGTAAAACTATGTTTTCCATCTCTCTTACATGACTAAAAACAGAGTCATTCAAATAATGCACATACAATATACCTAGATCATGAGCAAGCAAGAAGCATTTTGCTCTGTCAACTCTTCTGTCGGCAGGTTGCAAGTTGTGGTTACAAAGAAGGAATCAATTCCCTGGCTCTTAAAGAGCTGAGTTCCTCTATAAGATGGAATATTCTACCCCCCTTAAGAATATCTTGAGTGAATTAGTTTGTTTGAGGCAAGATCTCACTAAATAGCTTTATATGGTCTAAAGCTCACTGTGTAGTTCAGACTGACTTCAAAATCACATATATCCATCTGCCTCTACCTCCCAAGTGCTGCGATTAATGGTCTGTGCATCACACACAACCTAGAATATCCTAAGTCTTCACCAGCTTCCTTCCAAGATCAAATGTGTCATCTTGGAGGAAATTTCTATGCAAGATATCTCTATATTCATTTGTGTAACAAATATATTGCTAAACTCTACTCCAGTGTCCATCATGTGTTCAGAAAATAATAAAGCATTTATCATGTCCACAGGGCAAGGGTTTAGCAGGTATACACAAAGTCTACAATTCCAAACTGTTTCCATGCTCATAGCCAAGAAACAGAATAATCAAAAACTAATAGCTGTAAGATGAGTGTATTAGAATTATTTGTTTTATAAATCTATGATGACATCAAGGACACAGGCAAGAGGTTAAAGCATCTTTGTCATGATCTTGCTTGTGGATGTGGAAGCCCTTCTTAGAGACATTTGAGGAGCAGGACTACTGCAGTGAACCACATGCTTATGCAGAGAAAGGTTTATCTGTCAGAGAGGGGCACAAAGGGAGAGAGACCAGGAGGAGTTGATGTGTGTGGAGGCTATCAGGGAGCAGAAAGCAAGGTAAAAACATAGACAAGACAGCTGCTGATTAGGTCGAAGAAATTGTGTGAGACCATACTGCCTAAGGCCTGGGGTCTTTTATAGTATAGACAGGGAACTTTGATTCATGGGTTTAAAAGCTCAGGTAGAGAAGTGATAGACCAGGAAGACCAGAAACCGATCTCTCACAAGGAAGCCTAATGGCCCGGAAAATAGGGAGGTGCCAAAGGCTTTAACCTAAGAGGTGTTCATCTACTGCGTATTCTTAAAATTCCACAAAATCAGGCATCTAAGCTGGGCAGTGGTGTGCACGCCTTTAATTCCAGCACTCAGAAGACAAAGGCAGGCAGAACTCTATGAGTTTCAGGCTAGCCTGGCTCCAGGACAAAGGCAAGTTCCAGGACAAAAGACAGTCAGAGCTACACAGAGAAAGCCTTTCTCAAGGGGAAAAAATCATGCATGTAACTAAATCCTACAATTGCTTTTTGCTTTTAAGTCTTGCCCACCCATTCATGAATCCAGCTTTAAGGTAGCTCTCCTGTGTTTCTCTTTCTCATAGGAGATGGTTGTGGGCAGAGAACAGGGAAATTTAATAGTCTGAATATGTCATTTGTTCCTTTTATTCCTTTTCTAAATCCAAATGCATCATATTTTTATAGATAAGCGAGTTAATAGTAGAAGTTATAAAAACTTATATAACCTCTGCCAATAGTAGTTACTGCTATTACCTAGGTGTATACAATATATTGACCATTCCTAAATAGTTTCAAGGAATGGTACCACAGTATACATATTGCTTTTCACCATTTTTCATTCATCAATACATGTTTTATTAATGAACAAAAATTTATCTACATTATTTTTAAGACTAAGGTTCATGAGTAGTGAACATTATTATAATTTGTTAAAGATGTTTCCAACATTTGCCATATTTCACTAAAAATTTTGTTACACACCAAAATTTAATATAAAATTTTGTGCCAATTTTTAATATAAAATTATACCATAAAATTTTAACCAGCTACATATATACTGACACAATTAATAATAAACAACTTTCTTGGGCTAATTTTTAAGAACATAAAATGTTAAAAATGTTGTGTGAAATTTTATGCTTATATTTATTATTTTTTGAGACATTGAGAACCTACAAATTCTTATTTTCACTTTAGTTTAAAAATTCTGCTTGAAGAAATAGGTTATGTGGACACATCCAATATTAATTCTATCTTGTATTTAAATGTTTGCCAACTTAGCAGTAAAATATGCATTTTCTTAAGATTTGTATTTTCTTTTTACATTTGAAGTTAGCCTTTCTTACCTGGGTAATGGCCATTTATTTTCTTTTTTCTTGATTCTGATTGTGATTCCTACTTGCTTTTCTGCTGAAATCTGCTCTTTTTCTTATTGATTACTTTATATTCTTTATATATTATCAATAAATACCATAATATATTTATTGACAATATATTATGAATATATTCCCAGTTTGATGTCTTCTTATTTGAAGTGAGTTTTTAAAGCAGGAAATTTTTAGTGTTTATGTAAATTTTCATGATAGTGTCTTTAATGGCCAATTTAGAATTATTTCTTCCTAGCATTAACTATGACTTAACCTTTATTTTATCACTTTTTACAGCTTCACCTCTTACTTACTTTTCAATATCTAAAATAAATAACTATAATAGGGATCTTATTTAATTGCTTACAGAAAGCAAGACAAATGATTTAATATGACCCTTAAAAATGTCAGCATTGGGTAATATGTAATGCACATGTGTGTGTTTATTATTTATATACATGAGATATATGCATATATGAGAGAGAGAGAGTTTATTTACTTTGATTTTGTCTATATACATGAGAGGATATATAAAAATATAGTTTCTTCAAAAAGAATGTAGAAACTAAACTTGAGAAAAGGAGAAATGAATGAATACAAATAAAAAGTATAGCTTTACTATTGGCAAATAAGAAAAGTAAGCATTAAAATCAAAATACCAGCCCAGATCATAGGCAAAAACATTGCTGACAAGCACGGCAAGGAGGAAACAACACATGTTATTTTGAGTAAACTTTTGTTGTTAGGATATATTCATGGATTCCAGGAGCTGCATACGGTTTCTCCTTGAAAGGGTCAGGATGTTTGGACTTAAGAAACATCACTGAAAATACTGTAAGACTTTTACACAGTAGATCTGCAGCAGGAGTACACAGTAGAGAACATGGTGAAGCCCAAAGCAAATGTGACTTCCTTCGATGCCTATGAATAATAAAGCTAGGCTTGAGATGAGGCTAATATGCATCCATTTTTTTTTTATTTTTTGTCTTTCAAGACATTGTTCCTCTGTGTAACCCTGGCTGTCTTTGGAACTATATAGAGCAGGCTAGCCACAAATTCAAATCTGCCTTCCTCTGCCTCCCAAGGTGTGTGCCAACAAACACAGCTTCACATCCATTTTTGGAAAGTCGTATAGGCAATGTTGGTTGAAAAATGAGCTCTATCCTTCCATAATTTGGTATTTTATACATAGATGATCTTGAAAAACATGAAACTTTAAAACTGCTCTAAGATGTTTCTATCCCCCTACCTTGCGTCAGGTTTTGACACATTGATTGTATAATGCAGCGACAGTCATTTCTAAGTACTGAGTAAGCCCTAGTTGCTGTCACTGTATAATTTTATCCACCCATCAATGATTCTAGGTACTCAGCAGTAGCTATCACTTGTTATCAGTGAAAAATACAGCAAAGAGATTAGCATGTTAGGTGGCAGCAGCAGGGATATATATGTCCAAGCATCCAAACTCCCTATTAAACTGTTTCTTCAAGAAAGTATTATTGGACATATGAAGACAGAATGATAAGGTGTATCTGCCTAGAAACAATATAACAACTATAGCCTCTAAAGCACTTTCTATCTTGGATTCCTCTTTTACATAGTGTCAATTCTGATGCATAACACAGTGGTACACATTTCTGGAGCCCAAAGATTCACATCCTAGCTTCACTGTTAACTCACCCAAGGAAAATGCCTTCCCTATTCCCAGTGTTCTCTTACAAAAATAAAGGTAATGAACTACCTAATGTTGTTTTCAGGCATTAAAGGGTAATGCAAAAATGTCAACAGCATGTTTTAAGAAGAACACAATACACAAAGCCTTTATAATTTTAACATTATAATTTTTGTATACTTAGATATAAATTATAAAACAAATGAAATATTGCTGAATGCCCATACTATAGGCCAATTACTTTATATAAATATCATGTAATATACTGTTCTACTCATATGCTTTTTTTCTCGTCCTTAGTTTGGTGTGCTGTTGAATTGTTGAGCATCCCATTAAACACAAACATTTTTCTGCTAAATGATCCCCTACTCTGACAGTTAGCAAACTAATGGCCTTGGTTCAAATGCAACCATGTATTTTTTCTATCAACAATACACAGGTTTTTTTTTAATTGGCATGAAGTGGTTTTCAACCATACAAGTTTATTAACAAAAAAACTAATACACAAATAGTTACCCATGATGTTAATGTGATGGGAATGGATTTATGAAGAACTGTGGGCATATGATCCAAGAGAAAAAGAGATGTGATTACCATCTGAATAAGTGAATCTAACACATGAACATGTTAGGCATGACTGACTCCTTTAGGTACAACTCCGGAAACAAAGGTCTCAGATGCAGGGCACTGAAGCTGCACAAGACACGACTCCCAAGCACACCCATGCTGTTTCTCTTTCCACTCAGGATCTACGAGACCGCCTGTGGGACATCTGTGATGCCAGAAAGGAGGAGGCAGAGCAGGAGAGGCTTGATATCATTAACGAGAGCTGGCTACAGGACTCTGTCGGAATAATAATGAATCACTTCTTTTCCCTGATGCAGGTAGGAGCAGCCAGACACAGTGACACAGACTCCCTTTGCAGCCTTATTCCTCATGGAACAACTCCTTCGGGAATGTCAGAGGTTTGCTCAAGGACAATTTTGCTTCTAACACCCTGTGTTGTATGATTGTCTGCTTGGTAATGCATTCTGGCTCACCAAGAATATTAGCTAACAAAATTGTTTTTCTCTCAGTCAAGCAACCACACAGACAGTACAACGCTAGCAGCCACTTGCCATTTCTGCTTCGCTATGCATGTTCTGCGAGATTGCAGGGACTCTGTCTGCAACTGGGATGTTTCGTTTACCAGACTAATACTTAAGACTGGCCCAAGAAAGCTGCCCTGTCATAATTTCAGGGATACATTGCAACCATGGGAACCACTGCTGTGACCATAAGAAAAAGTGCAGACCAGCCTTTAGTTCCTCAAAACAAAGGGCCTATAGATAGGTTTTGAGAGATCAAGGGTGGAGGCAGGATGAGGGGTGAGATCAGCTGTCTTTGTTTTACAATGTCTAAGCTTTAAATTATATGTATATCTGTGAGTGTGGCTTTGGACATCTGAACATTGCCTGTGTAGACAACAAGAAGAAAACTTTGGATCCCACAGAGTGGGGGGTTTTGGTAACTGTGAACCACATGATGTAGATGCTGGGAACTATTGCCCTCTAAAAGAGTGGTACACTCTCCTAATCCTGAACCACCTCTCCAGCCCCATTTGTGTTCATTAACTGAACTTCCTCCTATATTCATTATAGAAGATAAGTTTACAACTGGAGACATCCACAGAAGTTACTTTCCTTCTCTCCGATAGGAGCCTTGAAATGCTATCTTCCTTGAGAAAGAACTGTACTTCAGACATGGTTTTCAGATCTTGAGGAAGGCATTCCTAGGGTACAAAACTGATAAAAGACCTGTCTTAAGATGTATATTTCAAAAACACAGAGAAAGCCGTTTACAGAGGACCAGTTTCCTAAAGTACTAATGGAGGCCAGGGGCTGAGACTGTGGGAGAAGCCCTGTCTAAAATTATTCATGCTTGAGGAACTATCGAATCCATCTGGATCAAGCTATCCTAAATTTTTGTTGACAGAACAGTCAAGAGGGAAAATGGATGGGGACTACTTCTCATCTATAATTGATTAACTTAGAAGGTATTTTTGGGGATGATAAAATACCTCTGCTTATATCTACGACTTCGATAAAGTAAGAGTTCAGCAAATCTCTTTTCAACAATGACCCATCCATTCTGGTAGTTCCAGCACTCAAATGGGCAGTCCCTGCTCCAAAGGCATTTCTGAAAAGTCAACAGAAACCCGAATAACAGGAAGCCTCAGGAATTATAGCAGCCACACCTCACTATTTCCCTTTCTATGGTTTCAATTACCTTTACTTGACCACAGGTGTGTGTGGGGGGGTTGTTTGGCTTTTCTGTTAAAATATAACTCACCTACTGATGTTCCCATCAATTTGATAGATGAATTGATTTTTTACTGTCTTTGACCTTCTGAAACTTCTTCCACATTGAAACATGGTTTATGGCAACTTAAATTCATGGTGTACCCTCACTGTCCACTCTCACCTGGCTAAGAATAAACTGTCTCTCATATTCTGTAGCTCAAAATGGTGCTTTGTGTCAGCAATGATGAGGTAAATCTTTTGATGTTCCATTTTGTACCAGTTTATTCTCTTTCATCTGACTTGAAATGAAAAAAATCCCTTTTTAATTGCATCAACGCTGTATATTCTCTATTTCCATTATTTGCTATCCAGGTTATCAGTTCTTCTACTCTGTCTTCAAAATGTTTTTGCTCAAGTAGCCCTTATATTGGAGTCTAATACTGACATGATGTCAAAAGATTCACTTCATGTTGTTTTTGTGACATGGCTATTGTAGTCATCTTATATCCATACCAAAAAATAAAATATAGCACAACAGATTCTTTAAGAGAATCTATGTTCATATCACTTATATTATAGTAGTTGTTATCGTATTCTATTAGTATTTCTCAGTGTATCTGATTCAGACTTTCTCAAATAGATATGAATCCATAGAAACAAAGGCATTAGTCAGGTATTAAATAAAGGACTTGAAGTGTATCCCCTATGAATCAAGAAGAATTATATTATCTCTAAGTGGGAGGTTTAAAGAAATCAGGATATCAGAACAAGGAGAACTATGAAGGCACGCTACAAAGCTGGATTATGAAGATAAGATAGATTTAAATGAGTTGCAACCAGGGGACAATGCTGAGACATTGTTTAGCATATTATTAAGCATATTAAGGAGTACACTTAGGTCCATTATGCATAGTTTACACAAAGGATTAAGTAAAGTACCCAACTAGCCTAAACTAGTTGAGCAGAAACTTGGGGAATCAGTCTGAACAAGTAGAGAGACGATATCATAAACAGGTTTTACCAAACACTTAATGAAAAAGTAACTATGATCCAAAAGTGAAGGCACAACAGACTTTCATGAGTCACTCTCATGATTCAGAGCCATAAATAACTCCTGTGGAATAGGTAAGACTCTAACAGTTCATTAATCTATAGATTTGAGGTTCTTATGCTGAGACATTGAGCCATTGCCCACATCAAACAAAATAAAACAGAACAACAGAGTACAGGCTGGGCACAACTGCCAGAAATTTCCAGCAGAACTCTAGTGAACGATCACAACAGCATTATGCTGGGGGTGCTGCTGTCATCCTCGTTTTGTCATTAAGGAAACTGAAGGAAGCTGGTGGGGAGCCACTGTCCTCTAGTTGCATCTAGTAAGTGAAAGAAGGAGCAGGAATTGCAACTGACCATGGCTGCAGAGTCAGTACGCCTTCTGGAACACTACTATGTCAACGACATTGTCCAAGTTGTTCGGCTTCACAGGTAGAGCATTGCTTAGCACACCCCGTAAAACCCAAAGGTGGACATGCTCAAGGGTAGCTTTCATCTCAGCACATGGAGAAAGACGTGATGATGGGACTATCCATCCAATACTAGACAGTTGAGGCAGCTCGTATTTTGTCCAAGACACTCAAAATCAGGAGCCTTAATGTTGGTCAAGGACAAAAAGTAACAAGTCTGGAGAAAACCTTCCGTTGCATGTTCTGTCTCACCACAAACAGCTAGATAATTGCTTCCCAAAATGGGTTCCCTGGAAAATTGCCTTCCAAACTGATCCAGAAAATGGTGTAATTACATGAGTGACTTTGGAAAGTGCTACATAAAGCAACCTATCTGCCCCACCACCACCCCGGGAGATTGACAAGTCTGCTGACATAGTTAGGAACTAAGATGTTCCATGAGTAAAGAAATCATTTTGCTGCATTAACGTTGAATTTCTAAACCAGATTGACCTTGGAAAGTTTTTACTCATTCATTCCAACAAGATATCCATGCACAGCCTTTGCAACAAGCTGCCCACAAGGTAAAGTTTAGAAAAGCTTTGCTAAGCTGGCCCTGGCTTCACAAACCTGTAAGTCACGTCTACCCAAGAGGCTGAGGGAGGAGGCAGACAAGGTCAGCGCCTCCAGGCAACTGGGAGTTTGTGGTTAGTCTCAGAAATGTAATAAAATCCCGCCTCAAAAATAAATAAATCAGAAGACTGGGGACATGGGCCAACCTTGAGGTAAAAGTACTTATTTAGAATGCTGAAGGTGCTAGGTTCAACGCAGAGTGCCACACAAAAGGAATAGCAAAGCCTGAAACTCCAGTGACAAAGAAGTCACAGAACAGAGGGTTATTTACTCGTTATAAGTGTGAGAGGAATCACGATTAGTTTTCTTAGAGGAAAATTCTGAATATGATGTCTTTTCCTATTCAAATCTGCTTATATTTGAATCAAGTTATTCCCTTTAAAAATGAGTCAATATTTTATACAAAACAATTACTGTAATAATGTAAGTCTTGGGGAAAGATCCTGATACAGTTTTGAATCCGACTCTGTCAATTATGTTCTCCCAAACCCAGTGATTAAAGAAGAGTTCAGTGCTCTAAGCTAAAGAAGAAATATTTTTCAGGTTTCTTACCCTATTTGCCCAAAACTATAGTTTACTGATTCAATGGTTAATAGCTTTTTGTAACCACTCCCCCACACTGTTCTTCATTTTTCCAAAGTTAATTGTCAATATTCAGTATGTACCTAGTACGTTTATATTTGTATCTTATTCATTATAAGCGTGATATTGTGTGAGTTTCCATGAATATAGTTTAGTCAAACAATTTTCCCTGCAGTTTTACCAAACTGAAACATGACACCAATAATTTTCTTTAAACTATGGAATTATTCTGTGTATGGATATTTTAACTCAATGATAAAAAAATCATAGATTTCCTGGCCATTTCAAAGTACTGTGCTCAAATGTGAAACATCCTATAATTTAAAATAATATATAAATGTTAATTTATTTTATAATATAGACTCAAAGTAAGGAGCTGAATTTTCTCTTGTTTGAGTCCTTTAGCTAGAAGAGTTTAATACTGTAAAAACTGGAAAAAATCTGTCTAATCATTTTCTCCATAAAAAAACCTCATTGCATTGTTTATTTTTTATTACACACTACTATGCAAAAAACAGCATCCCTTCATTGTCAACTGTGGATATGGTACTGTAAATCTATTTCTTGATACATCAGAAACATTTTTCCTTCTTCTTTATTCTTCTCTCATACAAAAATCCAGACTGCAGCCTCCCCTCCTCACATTCACCCCCTCTATTCCCTCTCACTACCTCCCTTCTCCCCAGATTCACTGCTCCTTCTGTTTCCCTTTAGAAAAGAGCAGTCCCCCCACCAAGTGATAGGGAATCCCTTTATTCATGCCCTTAAGCTACACTCAGCAAAGGTGGGGATGGATGGGATGGGATGTGGGGGGACAGGACTTTATTACTTAGGTTGCTTTTGTTCTTTTAGAAATGAGAGAGCAAGAAAAAAATCCTCTCTTCAATTAACTAGATATTATTTATTACCTTTGCATTAAAGGCCCATAATTTATGGCTTCAGATACCTGCTTACACAACCCCACCAACAAAGGAAAGTCTGGGGGTAATACATACCTCACCAAAGGGAAGAGCATACATACCGTATGATTTAAAAGGGAGAGAATCAGTTGATTTTCCATGATCTACATCTGTAGCTTTAAAACTGTTTAGGGCCTCACAGCACACAGGCCCTGTGCATTTGTGCCACAAGGGCAAACCCGCACTGACAGGGAGACCGCACATGTGCACAATTATTAATTGTTTCACAGCCAACTCCTTTGAATTGCTCTTCTTCCTTCAAGGTCTCTCCCAGCAACTCCAGCAGAGGAGTCGAGCAGAGAGGTCTAGAGAAGTTGTGAGTTATGTCTATCCTGTTCACATTAAGCAAGACAGGAAACTGTACAGAGAGAATTATTGTTTCACTTTGTGTTCTTGTTTGTCTTGTTTCCACAAATAGTTTGAATTGTACCAGAGGAAAAGAACCTAGTGTTGGTTTCATTCTGTTCTTGTACTTATAGCGTCTATGGTACCCCAAGGCAACTGAATTATTGCTAGGACAAAGAAGCTACTTCAGTGATTGATTGAAGAATTTCTAGTAGTAATCATCCAAAGCTATATAACTGTCATCTGGTTAAATGGCATTGCCCTCAGTAAACAGAATACAAAGTCATTTGCCTTCTTAAATAATTATGAAACTTTAGTGACAGAAATAAACAAGGCTCTTTCTTCATTTCTAGTGAATTACTTTCAACCAACATGTTTTAAAATTTTTATTTACATTATGCATACATATCACAGAAAAACATGCAGATCAATGTGTTCTTAGTTGGGTATTGATATCTACTTTCTGTATTAAAGGCAGAAGTGAACCGTTTCCAAGACACCAAAAGACTCCTCCAAGATTATTACAGAGCAATGGAATCCAAAATCCCACTAGAAGACAGTAAGAAATTTACTCGGGTCCCATTGGTTCAGCTCGATAGTAAAGACATTTCAGAAAACCAACTTAGGTAAGGCAGACCATTGTTTTACACTGTAATTACTTTGAACATACAGAATTGTGGTTTTTAAATTATAAATCCTGCTCCTATTAAGGGAAACACCAAATTGTTCCGAAAAGCTGAACTTTTTTTTTCTAACTTTGATGTCAGAAAATTAACTTGGCATGATGGATTATTTATCTTATTACTGGTGAATATTTACTCCTTTGGTTGGAGAGATAATGTGCTTTCTATTTTGTTTTCAGCGGGATTCTGCTGTGGATATTAGATAGTATGTCACTTCTGTATTCAGAAATACATTCAGCTCCAAAGACCTCTGGTGCTGAATTAGGAACTTAGAAGAACCAGATCATGTGTGTGGTGTGTATATGTGGTGGGGAATGTGTGTGTGTGTGTGTGTGTGTGTGTGTGTGTGTGTGTATTTAAGAGAGAATAAGAGAATGGAGAGAGAGAAATTATGTAAATTAAAATGGAAAGGATTGTCATTCTTCTTTTACAGGTGAGGAAATTGAGAAATAGTAAAAGTCAAATAGTATATGATCATGACCTCACAAGAATAAAAGATATTAACAATCCAACATCAGATTGTTGCCAACAGAAACAGGAACTTAGTAGTAGAATAACGACAAATTACATTTTTAGCTAAATAAATCGCCTGCAATAAAAAAATGTAGTAATTTTTTTATAGATATAATAGGTGAGTTTGGGGGAGGAAGGACAATATCTCAGACTCTGCAAAGTTGTAAGTGATGGAGAGGATGTCATCCTGAAAGGGTGAGTCAAGGAAATGGTAGTGATCACCATGGTGTGGTTTCCAGTCATTACACCCTAAGATCTAGTTTTACTTAATTTTATACAACTTAAGATGAAACACTTGAAAACAAAATTCAAAATCATTTAGGAGGAAGTGTATTATTTGAAAATAAGTTTGAAATTTGGGGAAACTTAAAGTATTATTTCCTGGTCATCCTTAAGCAAAACATGAAAAAAGAGAAAAATTTTGACATGAAGTGGAAGTACAAGCAGAAGCTAGATTTACAAAATCATGTGCAGAAATTGAATGCTGTGCTTAAATCTCCAGGCACGTGAGCTGTGCATTTTATATTTAAAGGAAGCCTCTTTGCCTAGACGTTTGCTCAGTCAATATAGGTGTAAGAATTGCATGAACAAAACATAGCATAATGAATATATTTTCAAACCAGATTGGTCTAGTTTAAATCCCGAGTCTGTCCCTTACTAACTGTATGAACTGTATATAAGTGGGTTAGGATAACTCACGACATCTCAATGTAAGCCTCAAGTTCCATTCTTACAAAAGCAAGGTTGTTGTGAAAATTACAGGAAATAGGATCTGCAAAATAGATGGAATTATGTCTGGAAATGAAAACATCTAAAATCCAGTCCTCAAATACTTATGAAAGAGTGGCTCTTTTGTTATATATTTTGGAGAATATATATAATAGTTTACTCTTGCTTATATGCAATATTTTAGTTGTGAGTAGTTCATGTCCCTACTTTGTTTGTTTATCCCTCCCTTGTTCCAAAAATAATTTGATATGGCATTGCTACATAGGCTATGTGATGATCCAGTGTCCACTTTTGCACTCTTACGGTCTTTCATCTGGAGTTATATTTACACCAGGCCATAGATACACAAGAATGCACAAAAGGGTGAGCATGCACCCTCTTCCTGTCCCAAATAGAAGAAAAACATTGAAGAAACTGCTAAGAAAACATTGAAATTAGAACAATAATGAACACCAGAGGCAATAGGAACCATCAGCATCACCAGAAGACATCAAGTTTCAGTGTCTAGGGTGGCAGTGCATTCTGTTCTTGGCACATAATAGCAAACCAGGCATAATGGGGAAGCTATTCATTTTGGTTAGTACAATAAGGCCACAGAAGAACAGACAGTTCTAAGTTTTTACAGAACAGCTTTGTACCAATCTCAACCTTAATGCTGTGGCAAAATTGCTGAGACAATCAGTCAGTCAACACACCAACCAGCTCACCAACCAATTAACCACAGTCAATAACATATAGAAAAAAAAACAAGCACAGTGTTCAGCAATTTTACATACTTTTTCTACTTCATTCTTTCCAACAACCCTATAGTAATATTAATGGTAGCCGTGCATTCTCAAAATAATAGTTGTATTAGTTGATAAACAATTATTCATGGTAAAGCGAGGCTCAGAAATTCAAGTAGCATACCCAATTTTATATTTCGCAATAGTGACAGAACTACCTATAGTACAGGAACTTTTCTTCCCAGTAAGTGAATTCTAAGGTCATTTTCATCAATAACTACCTTTAGTTTTAATATGGAGCTATTATGTATTCACCTTTGTTTTCATTTTCATGTCCTCTTTCTGCTTGTATTGATTCAATTTGTTTGTAGACAATTTCACATACTTGTAGTTCTGATTAGCATCATGTTCCACCTCTCTATCTCCTTCACACAATAGTTACTCTTCCCTCCTCCCAGTGAGTACAGAGACTCATGCCTACACAAGATGCCTAGAATAAATGAGCACTCAACCCAAACATGCCATTTATACCACACCATCTAAGGCTAAGGGAATACGACAGAAGGACTGAGTGGAAAGAATGTACAAGGCATTTTTGCCAGAGACACAAGAGAGAAAATATCTCAGTGACAGAGGGAGAGGCTGGAAGAAAATCACCATTAGAATATATATATTTATATAAGAAGTTGTTGCATGCCAAACTCCACAGGAGCTGCAGCTGCCTGTACTGAGCCTGAACAAGACTGGGCCTCTTGTTTATAACATCTTATCTTTTTGCTGGACTGCTGGCAACTGAGGAACTCTGGTGGAGGGACAGTCATTGTCTTCAGCTCTGTGACACACAGGAGGCCTCCAGACTCTAGTGGCTATTTCCAAACCTGTGGCAATACAGATAGACAATCCTGGTTAAAACTAGTGGGTCCTTTTCTAAATAATGCCGTGACTGCTGTCCTGCAAAGCAAAGTCTTGTGCTGTTTGAAATGTCTAGAGATGGTCACACACATACTTCACATAAACTTAGTAGAACTTGAAAGGCTTTGATTTAGCATTAATTGGTTATTAAGATACAATTTAATGTGTGAGTGTATTCTCAATGCAATGTTTTAATAGTTATGATAGATTATCAGAATTCCAAGTACTGTCATACTGATTGTTCTACTACTGTGAGGCTATTCTATGACCAAAGCAACTCTTATCAAAGAAAGCATCTAATTGAACATTTGATTACACTTTTAGAGGGTTATTTCATGATCATACTGGTAGGAAGCACACAGATCTGATACTGGAGCAGTAGCTGGGAAATTTACACCCTGATCTGCAGGAAGCAGGCAGAGAGAGAAACACTGGGCCTGGCATGGGTTTTTGAAACCTCAGAGCCCACCTCCAGTGACACACCTCTTCCACCAAAGCCATACCTACTAAAACAACCCAGGCCACAACTCCCAATTCTTCCCCAAACACTTCACCAACTGAGGATTAAGCATTCAAATATCTGAACCTATGGGGGCATTCTCATTCAACTCCCCCCCACACACACACACATTGTGAAAATCCAAGTGTTAAGTTCAAGAAATCTCAGGTGATGCTTCCAAACAAGAATAAGCTAGTTGTTTTCTGGAGTCCACAATTATCTTTCTAAATCCCTGTTCCAGACCCAAGTTCCCTGATTCTATAAAAACAAGTGCTATCTATTCCTGTTGTTGATCCTGAATCTATTGTTAAATTTCAAACAGGTTATTTTTGGAGTTACTCTTTTCCAATCCCTTCTCCAACCTTAAGATGACAAATTTTTGTCACCAGAGGATGATGATCCCAATTACAATAAACATTCTACCCTAGATCTTCCTTCATGCTTGAACTAACCTCCGAGATCCTAAGACCAATGATAGTACATTCTCAGAAATTTTTCTAAAATCTCCAGTTGGGGAAGGAGTACTGTTAAGAGAAAGTGGAACATGAGCTTCACTCTTGTGTTTGGCCACCGCACTTGACAAGGAGAAACCCTCACTATCCACAAGTAAGAAAGGGGAGGGCTTCTGAAGCTTCTTCACCTTGGTAACACACAAGCATCATCACCTCTGTTTAACAACCCCAGGCAGATTTGTGTTAGTCGCATTATCATGTCAGGATGTCCAGGTGATACTGACAATCTTGAATAAGTTCCATTAGGTTTACTTTTCCCATATTCATTTACCCTCATGAGAAGCATGTGCCCTGGAAATATGACACAAAAAAGGACATTTGGGGGGGGGAGTCTTTCTTCATAATCACTGTTATATAGTCCACCTCTTTTAATTTTTGAGAATTAAATCTGAAAAATGACTTGTTACTTGCTGTCAGTTTTCTATTATTAGTGAGATTTTGTAGACCATATAAATGTGATTAATTCAGCATTTTCCAATCATAGACTTTCAAAATAATTCTTCTAGGAAAACTTTGGAAACTTGAATTAAAGAAATACAACAAAAAAAAGGCACAAACTAACACTGTCACAAAAATAGAACTCTGTTAAATGAAACCCTTATGTTTCTTTGGTTTGCTTTTCTTTCCCCAAAGAATTCCTCTAGTTCCTCGAATATCCGTTTCTCCAGAAAATGTTACCATCAAACCAAAATTGAAAGCGTTACTGAAGGGCAAGATCGATCCCTCATTAGAAGGTTTGGAATCTAACTTTGAGGTAGATGAGAAGATAGTATTGGACACCTGGCAGCAGGCTTCCTTAGCCATCTCCCACATGGTAAGCAGTACCCGTGGTTGCATTTCCTGTCTGCTACTCTACTATTTAAGTGGCATGGTTGGTAACATGATACAAGTGCAACATTTATATGATAATCACAATCATACTATAAAAAGGCACGGCTTTCAGAAATTATCATTATTAAAGGGACTTCTCAAGAAATAAGATGTTAAGAGATAATAGTCAACAAGTCTTTAAAATCATGAAAGAAGTGAGACAATACTTAGATTCATTTCAGGTCTGGCCTACGTTGCAAATGAAGAAGCTTAAATGTCAAGAGAATGTTAAGGAGGAAGTCAACGGGCAGATCAAGCAATATAAGAGAGTGTGATGGTGCTGACAAGGCTATGTGCAACCATGTGCTGGCCCACTTTGTCATCTGACAATGACATCCAGCATGGTCAGGTTTTCTATTTCCTAGAAAAACCAAAACTGTAATAATTTTTGTTGCTTGAAATGTTTTTGTTTTGTTTTGTTTTGTTTTTATTATGTGATACTACTGGTTTTAGTTTTAATGAGTGAAATATAATTCTTGGAAGTACTTTACAAAGTCATGAAACACAAAGTCCAAATAGCCTGTTGACTTTCCAACTTCAACCTATCTGCTTATTATTTTCTCTAAATCACAATAGGATAAGGATGACTATCCTTTCACAATGGACAAGTAAAGTCTAGAGAGGTGGACAGCTTACTGCATGATTTCTGTTCTACCCACTTGGCTTTTATTCTCTTTTTGTGCTAAGCATTCTTTGATTTCACTAAAGTACACTATCTAATCAGAAAACAGTATCAACCTTCCCAAAGGTCTTATGAAAGTCGTGGAACTGGAGCTTCGTTATAATCTCATTTTCCTTGACTTCCCTTGGGATCCTTTATGTCTGACCTTACCCTGAAACAACAAGCTCTTTTTTCTCACCCATCTTTCTTTTGCTCTCTTTATCTCTTCGTCTGCCACAGAATGATTTCGAAATCTTCTCTTGTCATATTTGTTTTCAAGAAATTTTAAATGTCGTTACCCACATCAAAAAAAAATCATGACATGTAATTGCATGGCTTTACAGGAACACTAAAGTATTGCTCATGACACCAGTACAGAGAGGAGTGTGAAGGTATGAAGCTGCTACGTCTCATCATCACCTTCCAAACCTTAGCTCGCTTCAGTGAACCACTGTCGGGCTCCATCCTTGATGGGTTCGTACGCTCCACGGTAGAGGCATGTGGTTTAGAAATATTAGGCAGAAAAGTAGAAATACAGAAGAAATAAACAGAGACACAGAATAGAGTTGGGGTGGCAACTCAATGAATACTGAATCTGCCCATATTTTATTTTCCTTAGCTTTATATACCCCAATCCAAAGAGGAGGAGGAAGACAAAAGACCTCTTCACTAAAGTGCAAGGAACAAACAAAGTAATCACCTTCTCAAATACCCAGAGCATCAAGTAACCACACCCTAGATCAAAATACCCTGCCAGTAGCCACACCCCGGGTCAAACCTCCTAACAATAACCTTCAAGAAGCAAGAATAGGCCTTTAGTCGAAGTGGAAGGACTCCACATCTGTGGCCTCCAACAAACCACTGTCTTGCCTTTTCATTCAATTCTTTTCCGATCCAAGTCTGTAACTTAACAGCTTATTGTACTTGTGCTTGTCTTTGAGTTTTAAGAAAATGGACCTTTTACATGTTTGTGTGTGTGTGTGTGTGTTCATTTTTATAAAATTATTCATTAGCGTAATCTCATATTGTTGCTACTGGCCCACACTTGAGTTTGCATTTTGATGCCATTGGAAACAGCTACTTTGAACATTCTTACATATCTCTTAGTACCAATGAGTGTACAGAACCCCCTTAGACCTGGGAATACATGCTATCTTCTACACATCACTGCTTTCCTCTGTGTGTGTGTTTGCGTGTATTATTGCTTAATATGCATATACCTTCTTGGTCATATGTAAGCATTATACAATTTAACTTCCTTGTCATAGAGTATATATTTATGTTTCAAATAAGTATAAAATTATAAATATATACCATTATTTAAATATTTCTTTTTATCCTCATTACATTTATTTTCTCTTTGAATTATTAAGAGCTGTGCTGAAACTACACATTATGAGAATAAACCTATTTCTTTCTATTTACAACTTGCTGATACTTGCCTTTTGTATATATGAGACTATGAAACCGGGCATATGGAAAAATTGAGATGAAAAATTTTTTTCTAGTGAATTGAACATCTTATTTGGGAATAATCTTTACTTACAATTAACTTTTTTAGAAAATTATACTTTGAGGTTACTTATATACATTTGTCTTTTAGTATCTCTATTTTAAAAGTCTCACAGTTTCATCCACTTGTTAGTTTTTACTCTTCATAAGTTGTGATATAATTCACTCAATTACTATTCTCTTGGTGGCCCTGCTGGGATCCTTTAGTAAGTTATTAACCACATTCATTATTTAGTCACTCCAGATGCTATTGCTAGACTAATTCTAAGTGAATTATTTCCCATTATTTTTAAACAAAAATAAGGAAAATTAAATATTGAAGGTATTTAATACAAAGGGAGATCAAATATTCCCTTAATTCTCAAATAACCAGTAAAAGCACTTATCAAGATATTAGATATAGATCCTAAATATATCAACAATCATTTTATATTTTTAAAAAGATACAGATAAAATAATTATCATAGATGGTTTAAACAAACAAATGAACAAAGGGCTAGCAAGATGACTCGGAGGGAAGAGGTGCTCACTGCCAAGCCTGCGAGCTGGAGTTTGATCCTTTGAACTTACATGGTAGAAGCAAGAATTGACCCTATACACCGTCTTCTGATTTATACACACATTATGGTACACACATTTGCATGCCCACACATATAAACACAAAAGCAAGCAAACAAATGAAAATATTTTAATGTAATGTTTTTATATCTTTATACAATGAACTTCAGCATTCCTGTTACCCAGTCCCCTACTTCATCCCCACTCCCTCTCCTAGAGCCAGCCTTCTTCTCAAGGGGCCTCCCTCCTATCCTCGTATCTTCCTCTTGTTTGTGGTCCAATAAAAGTTTCGTCTGAGTTATTGCCTGCATGTGGGTGAGCGGCTATGAGGTGGAACAAGGGCTCCTTATCTGTGGCTACCACAGTGAAGAAGGTGACACCCTTCTGCAACAAGCTTCATGGACCTCTCCCTCACCCATAATGCAATGCTGATTGGCTCAATCCTGGACAAGTGCTGAGTAATTAACCACAACTGCAAGGAGTTCATGCATGCAATGCTTTGGTCATGTTCAGCAGATACCATTTTTATTGCACATCTTCAGTTCTTCTGCTCGTTCTGCCTCCTCATCTGTCATGTTTTCTGAGTCTTAGAGAGGGATGCTACTTAGAAAAATTACTGATGCCAAAGGAGCATGATATGGTCATCCCCAGTGACTATACAGAATCTGAAACCTTGGCCGAGAGTCCAAGACACTCAGCCCTCTTGTGTCTTACCCTCACTAACTCATCAACTTTATAACTGGCTGGATCAGGTTTGCTCATTTTTTCCCGTGTCGATGTACTGCCACGCATAGTGTTCTTCTCCTTTCTAAAATATGTACCTTCTACTTGTACTTGGTTAGATTCTTGAAAGTTTTATTTGGTTTTTTTTGTTGATTTGTTTGATTTTTTTTTTCCCTGAAGCTCGGGCCTTTTATAATCCTAAATTTTTCCTATCTTTGTTGTTTCTAATGTTCCTCCAGTGATTTGGCTCATAGTATTCATCGTGTGTGTGTGTGTGTGTGTGTGTGTGTGTGTGTGTGTGTGTGTGATTTGTGTGCATGTTTATGTATATAAATATGGGTATGTGCCTGTTACAGTGCCGGGGTAGTGGTCAGAGGACAACTTCAACCATGTTTCTCCACACTTTCCACTATCTCTGGAACAGAATTGCTTTGTTATTTTCTCTTGCCTCTTACACAGGCTAACTATCTCATGCTCTTTAGGGGAGTCTCATGCTTCCACCTCTGATCTTGCTGCAGTAAGACTACAGAGGGCCAACACTATAGCCAGCTTCACATCAGCTCTTGAGATTCAAACTCAGGTCTTCACCCTTGCTTAGCCAGCACTCTATCCACTAAGCCATCCCTACTTTGTAGCTTTTCTCTTGCTAGTGTTTTCCTGAATTATTAACTTGGTTCTGCTACTTTTCATATACCTTCATCTAGGACAACGCCCACACCTAACATCATCCTGAATTAACAGTATGGTCCTGAGAAACTGCTGCAGCTGCTGCCATGCTCAAAACACTAAAGTCAATAAAAAGATGATGATGAAAATAATGATTACCACAAAAACCACAAGCACCGAGTCCCGGAAAGTGGGAAACAGGTGCAGATAGATTTCTAGGAAGATCGTGAATTGTTTGTCTTGTTAATTAAAGTTCAAAACCATAATGGGCAGGTCATACATAGTCCATTCAAAGGACCTGTGAAAATACTGCCTTCTTAGAGAAATGTACGTATGGCTAGAGTGTTAGTTACATGTCACAGTTTAATATGGATGGTCTGTTTTGTTGTTTGGAAAACCTGTTACCTTCTCTCAGTCTTCGACTTCTTCTTTATAATGTGAGAAAAACTGTCAAATGATTGAAAGAAATTCAGGGAAGTACTGTGTACGAAATGTGTTAGAAACTATAAATATAGTTCATTTGCTAAAAGGTTACTTAAAATTGTACATTTTTCTTTTGTATTTTGGAATGTCTCATAGCAAGCACAGGAAAAATAATCACTTATACGAATATATACAACAATATATGAATCCACATTTTTTGTTGCAATAAACTTCTATAAATCTAATATTACACAATTAAAAGCAGACAAAAAAAAGATAGTCATGAGTTTAGCACCCAGACCCTTAGATGACTAAACCATGCCTTGTTAGAAAACAAACATTTAAGGGAACTTTGAGTTCCAACTGAGACAGGTGTGATCAGAAAATGGATGTAGCAAACAGCTCCAGATGAGATTGGTGCAATTGGAACGAACTTCAGTTTAATTCAGGCTTTTTCCAAGGGGCAATTTTACCAAAAGCTATTCATTTAGTATGCTATGTTAATTTTTAGCAAAACTTTCTAATTGATAGGTATGTAATGATTTCAGAGAAGTCATATTTAACACCTACAGTGTCAAAGCAGTATGCTTAAAGTTCCTTCCAGCCTTAGCAGCTACTTTAATGAATGTATTCTAAATTCTACTAATTTTTGAAAGAGATGTGGAGGTCTTTGAGAGAAGTGGACAAGAAAAATGCTAAGAATAATCATTACCTTCATCATCATCAACATCACAAGGTTGTTACCAAGGAGATCAGACCAATTTTAAAGGAAATTGCTAACTTACACTACTTTGCAAGAACAAATTTTTAAAAAACGAATTTCTTGCAATTAAATGGGGGGGGCTGTTAACAAGCAAGCTTTCTACTTTACCAAGAACTTGAAAGTACAGTAGAAGCATGAAAACCATGTTTCTCAAAAGATCACCTGGGGAGGGGGGCAAGTCAACCAAACGAGCTTGTTCTATATACCTTTTTTGGATATATCAAGTGTTACTGGCAGACCATTCCACAACATCTTACAATTTTAAAATAAAAATCTATTAGTTAAGAAACACTGTCTTCCATAAATAGAGTGCATTTACCTCAAGTTATGGGGAGCATGCACAGATATGGGAGCATGAAAACCCATTAGGGTGATGAGGTTTAATGCCCAGGAAACAGTTGGGAGTGGCTTCATTCTGGGCCATGGCGCATAAAGTGTGTCAGGAGTCTGGAGAAGGCATAAACTTTCTGATTGTTTACAAATGAGATAGCAAAGACCATTGAGGGAAATATGCCTTGTCCATATTTCTGTATATCTCCTTTATTATTCTTTAGTCTTCTCATTCTATTTATCTCAAAAATCATATCAGATCTGGACCTAACAAATCCTTATATAAATACATACAGTCTTATTAGGTCTCGTTTCTTTACCTCCTGAATGCATGTGTGTTTTATATATGTTTTGAGCTCCTTTTCTCAGTCTTCATAAATAATCTTCACTGCATTAAAGTCAGATGACTCTATTAGTATTAGTTCTATTATTTCTAAAAATAGAAAAAAACCCTGAGTGGCAAAGCTCTTAGATAAAGATTTTTCGATAGATAGATAGAGATAGATAGATATAGACAGATGATAGATAGATAGATAGATAGATAGATAGATAGATAGATAGATGTTTGTTAGATAGGTGATAGATGACAAATAGATAAAGTAGGTTACTAGATGATAGATAAATAGGTGATGATGACAGGTAAAGAGATACATAGATGGTGAATGTATATATAGAGAGATACATAGGTATTTTATATGTAAACATGCATATACTCTTAAATTTTAAATTTGCAAGCAGTAATTATATATTTTGGCTTATAATTTGATGTTTTGATATTGATAGACATATTAAAATGACTAACCAAACTGATAGTTTATCTACCACTTTATTTACTTGGCAATATTTTTGGAGAGTAAACACTTAAAATCCACTCTTCTAGCAATTTTGAAATATAAAATACATTATCAACTACTGTCACCATGCTTTGTAGTAGGCCATCAGAATTTACTTCTTCCTTCCTGGCTAAAACATTTACCCTTTAACATTTTTCTCTATACCCTATCTATCCACCTTTGTTACAAGGAATGGGCCCCTTGTTTGTCCTGGCTGCCTGGCTAGATTACACCCGAAATAACCACACAGAAACTGTATTAATTAAAACACTGCTTGACCATTAGCGCTAACTTATTATTGGCTAACTCTTACATATTAGTTTAATCCATTTCTATCAATCTGTGTATCACCACAAGGTCGTGGCCTACCAGAAAAGTTTCAGCACATCTACCTCGTTCCACGGATCCATGGCATCTCTTTGACTCTGCTTTCTTCCTCCCAGAGTTCAGTTCTATCTTCTCTGCCTACCTAAGTTGTGCCCTATCAGCTAGGCCAAGGCAGATTCTTTATTCATTAACCAATGAAAGCAACACACAAAGAGAAGGAACTCCTACACCATTTTCATATCTATATCACACCTTCAACCCCTGATGGCCACCATTCAGCTCTATACTTCAATGAGTTCAGTGGGTGTGTGTGAGAGTGTGTGTGTGTGTGTTTGTGTGTGCGCGTTCATGCGAGCTCATGTGTTTTGGAGAAAGAGTTATTGTATAGTATTTAATGTCCTGTGCATGTATATATATAACATCTTCTGAGTTTATGTAGCACTACGACAAGGCTTTCTATAACCTAAAGTAAGTTGCAAATCTTAAAGAAGAGAGACGGTGTAGATGACCCTGTAAAGGTCTGTATCTCTTCAGTGTGAGGATGTAATTTCCCTTCTGTAACTATCATAAAGAGATAATATAGCCATAATCCAGACATTCACAGGAATGATAGAGGGATTAACTACAAGGGAGACACTTGGAAAATTTAATCATAAGCAGGGATGACTCTGCCTTGTTTTTACTATAAAATGACCTTCAAGCCTAAGATGTAAGCAGGCTGCTTTATCAGTGAAGATAAAACTACATGAACATGTGCAAAACCCTATGTTTACCAGCTTAGAGTTCAAAATGAGTGCACATAAAGATGCATTGCCATCAGGGATTAATCAGATGACAGCCTCCTTTCAAACAGGGAAATGGGAATAGCAGTCGGAGGCTAGATCAGCCAATCATAGAACCATGTGCTTCTTAAAGGGTGAGAACATGGGTCTCATTGTTCACAGAAGAAGGAATCTTCCATGGATCTAAGTGAGTAAATCCAAGGGTTTATCATATTTGGTAAACACCGTCCTAACTGAAATATCGCTACCTTATAGGTGGCTGCTGAAGTCCATCAAAGGCTGATAGAAGAAGAAAAAGAATCGCCCCCATTGGATTCCAAAGAAAAGTCTCCTCAGTCGGGTACAAATAAAAAAGCCAAGAAGGAGAAGGAGGCTTCCAAGAAGAAAAAGGCAGAAAAGAAAGCAAAAGGTATTCAGAGTGGTAGGACCGGGTACCCAGGTCTCTTCAAACCTCTTGGTAGGAAACAAGTCTTTAACCAGGCGTATCAGCACCACCTGATTCTTTTAAGCACATAGCCAGTGTAACCAACAGATGTATCTCGAAGGCAGCTTTAAACTCTTAGCACTCCTGACCTGGGAAGACCCTGTAGAGGGGCTCATGCTGCTGTAGAAGTTAAAAGGCTCTGTGTTTACAGGTCTCTGGGGGCACTTGAATCTAAGCAAATTGTTCTCTGCTGGAACACTCCTACCTAACCCTTTGCCTCAGAGTCATAAATGAAGAACAATCTCGAGAAAACAGGCAGAGAGAGCACTCCTGTTGACTTTAAGCAACAACACAAATGTTACTTTTCCCTCTCAGTGTTTCCATGTGGACATTTTTTTATGTAATTTGAGACAAGAAAGGAATCGTAGAAAACACATGAGGAAAGTTGCTGCAACTGTATGTTTATTAAGCACCTACTGTAGTATGAATTCTAATTGGTAATAAAAATACAGAGTGGGATATTAGGGGCTGAAAGCTGAAAGATCAGAGAGGCAAGGTGAAATCACTTTGGCACCTGCTACTCACCTTACTTTCTTCTTAAGATGTGACACAACATGTTTTGTTATGGATGCAGACCAGAAAGTCACAGAATTCTCAATGAGACATGCTCAATACTTCATTACCCACCCCAGAGAGTCCAAAGTTCCCCGTTTCAAAATCTCCGCCAGTTTTTGACTCTACAGATTTTGCCTAGTAGTACCCCGTACAGGTGCCATGTCTATACACTCATGGTCTGCTGATTTACTCACCATGTCTCAGTTCCCTTTCAGGAAAGTCATCACCTGTGGCGGAGGTCAGCCCCATCACAGTCTCTCCTGAGGAACTAGCCGAAATGGAGAAGAGGAATGAGCTGAGGCTCAAGATTAAGGAAGAGCATCTTGCTGCTCTGCAGTTGGAAGGTAGGAGGAGGGATCGAATGAGATCCAGTTTCCAAGGAATCCAGGGCCGCCTTCTGATCTCTGCTGGCACCAGGCACACATGTGTTGTACATACCTATTAGGCAGGCAGAACACTCATATAAATAAAATTCAAAAAGTAAGTAACTATCTGAAAAAGAAAAAAGAAAAGAAGTCCTGGCCAAAGCGTAGTAAGCTCTGAGAATGAAAGATCAGTAAAGAGCCCTCACATCTCTGCTCAGGTTAAGGGCTTCTTCCCTATACTCAGCAAGGTCTCTGCAAGACCTTTTCTCCCAGGACTCTTTTGATTGTCTTTTAGCGTAATTCAGAATTTAGAATATCAGGACTTCAGCAAAGATAGTCTGTGGAAAGAAAGAATTGTCGATATCCTAGGTGACAAAGCTGTACTGTAAGCAAAGGTGCAGAGAAGCCACCATCCATTCTTGTAGGATATTATTTTACCTATATAAAGGTGTGTTACATTTGATTCACTGCATTTGTTTAACTATGTAAAGATGTGTTCCTTTGTCTGCCTAAGCACCCAAGTGGTATAATAAAAAGCTGAACGACCGATAAATAGCTAGGCCGTAGAAGAATAGGTGCAAGTGGTTGGCGAAGAGAATAGGAGGAGGAGGAATTTGGCACCATATAGAACCAGGGAGAAAAATAAGACAGCAGCCAGCCAGACACAAAGGAAGCAGGAAAGTAGGACCTAAAAAATTAAAGAAAGGTAAAAAAGCCCCCAGGATAGTAGAAAATGACTAGATCTCCTGAGTAAATTGGGAGCTTGGGGACCTTGGGAGAGGGTTGGGAAGGGGAGAGGCAGGGACAGGAACAGAGTAAAATGTAGAACTCAATAAAAATAAAAAAGCCCCCAGGCAAAACACAGGTGAAGAGAAACAGGTTAAGTTACAAATACTAGCTGAACAAGCAGACGATAATAAGTCTCCATGTCATGATTTGGGAGCTGGTTGTTAGAGAAAGACTGCTATAATTTATAGAGCAGAAGAAGATTTTTATTTTAGATATGAGAGAGAAATAGTCAGGGGCCTTTGGGGAAGTCTAAAGCATTTGTGACTACCACTCTGGGGCAGACTGGCAAGGGCCAGAAAAAATCCTTGTGGTATATAAAGAAAAACCCATAGTCCATGGTTTAGGGAGGAAATCCTATGAACTAGAATAGCCTGAAAGTTTAGGGTGCTGGGGGAAGGGGCTTGTGGCCCAGTGGCTTTGCTATGCATCCTGGGTATGGGTCAATAGGGAAGTGGCTCTTCCTGGCAGACAAAAACCAGTTTCACAGGTTCCTGAGGAATGGTGAGAATGAACCTTTGTCTTTTGACCATCAATCCTCTGGAGTCCAGCTTGAGCTGAGCCAAGACTGCCATTTCGGACCAAGTCAGTGGACCTCCTCTTTTGGGGGGGTTCTTGGTGTTTTTCTCTTTGAACCTAAACTATAACATGAACATATTAGGCCAACTAGAAAATTCTTACTATGGTGACATTAAATAAGGATCTTTTCCAACCCTTGTTTCTCTCCTTTATTCTCCCTTCACCCCACTACCCACTCTACCACGCTCTACTCCCATAATCCAGCATGAAAATCAGGAGTGACTTGAGCCTGGGGAGCTGCAGGGCATCTGGAGAGTGGAGCATATACACCTTTCACCTCAGTCTCTGTCTCCACATCCGATTCCTGTGGCTTCCAGTATGCTTCATCTTTAAATGTGTCTGATACAAGAACCTTAGTGACATAAAATTTTTCTTCACGTTACAAAAGTGATCAAGTTTTTCACTGTAGGCCGTGTCCCGTGGTGGTTGCTAAGAGACACGTACATGAGTAATCAAGGTAGAAGAAAAGAAGAAATATGGACAGTCACATAGCAGTCTGTGATGTTGGAAATAGACATTTGAGACAAGGTGATGAGGCATCAAGAAAGACTCCCCAGGGGAAGTTAGCTGAACCAGAAGAGTATGGGAAAATGTGCTTAGGAGGCAAACCAGGGGCAGGAATAGAAAGCAGAGGTATGGGCCAACGCAACAAGGATATAAAACTATTCAGTGAGTAGCTATGAAATGTAGGAGATAAGCCGAAGGAGTGACTTGGGGATTCGGCATCCAGATCACACATTGTCCATTAGACTCTGCTTCAACACATGTAAGATCCTGTCCCTGTGGAAGCTGGTCCTATTGATACCTGAGCAGAGGTGGGACTGCGCTGACATCTGGAGGAAGGCAGATGGGACAAGACTCAGGTGACTCTAAATGCTCCGGAGTTTGGATTTGGGATTGAAGTGGGGGAAAGGATAGGAGAGAAAATACAGTTAAAGCTATAGTTTAAGAACAACGAATCAATATGTGATCTTGTAGACAATGACAATCAAACTTAAGGAGCAGATTGTTAAAAGAGTGCTATTAAATATAAAGCTCATGAATAATTTTAAATTCTCAAAAAGACTTTACTGCACATTTTTGTTTTGCTTCTCTGAGATGGATGCCACCTTACCTACAATTTAGTGAGACTTCATAAACCAAAGTGTGATTGGTATAAGTAGATTTGAGTCACTATAAAAATTATGTATATGTAATACAATAAAAATCCCTCTTTCTCTTTTATATTGGTATATATTAATTTTACAAAACAAGAGGTTTCATTATGATCTCTTTATACTTACATATAACATACTTTGATCTTATTCATGCCTAATTACTCTCTCTCGAATCCCCCATCCCCGGTATACTTCCTCTTTCTAAGTAGCTGATTTTCTCTTTTCATGTGTCATTGAAACACAGATTCCATAGGAATAAGAAAGCGTACAACTTGCCTTTCTGAGTTCAGTTTATTTAGCTTACATTCAGTTTCTCTTTTTTAAATAGAAGCAGCCACGCAATTTCGACTTGAACTAATAAAGACAAAAGCTTTGGCTGTCCTTGAAGATTTAGTAACAAAGGTGGTTGATGTCTACAAGTTCATGGAAAAATGGCTTGGCCAGAGATATTTAAATGAAATGGCCAAGTAAGTAAAGTTCTCCATAGCTAATATATATATTAGAGAGAGAGAGAGAGAGAGAGAGAGAGAGAGAGAGAGAGAGAGAGAGAGAGG